GTGTGTGAGTGTGCGAGCGCGCGCGCACGCGTGTGTGTTGCGTGTTGTTTGTGCTTGTGTGTGATAAATAGCTGGTGAAAGAGAATGTATTACGTTCACACACATGTTCTGACACAGTTTATGGACATGTAGAGAAATAACGATATAGTAAATATATTTAAAAAATGAAGACAGAAAATTAATCTGAACTGAACGGTCAAAGAAGGGTCAAGACCGTTGCTGTTTTTAAAATCTTATCACTGTAGTTTGTAAAAAGACGGTAGTCATGACATAAAAGTTGCGAAAAATAGTTTTAAAGTTTTGTAAGATCACTGTGTCATGGACAAGATAGGTGGCCTGTGGGACGCAATGGAATTCGCCCCCCCCTCCCCCTTTGACGTCATAACTCTACGTGCGGAAAGTATGACCCTGAACTCGTCCCCCTTTTATAGTCCAATAGTTTAAGCAATGGCAGTAGTAGGGTATTGAAACTGGTAAATGATCATTCACATTTCTCTGATGAGCATAGCGTTTATGTTCCGCGCTATTTACAGATCCTTAAGATTGCGCTGCGCGTTTTAACGATCGTATAATTGCACGGCAATCTGAAGACTGCGTAAATATTTTTATAATTTTGAAATAATAAAAAAAATAAAATTCACTTCCATCTTTATTCTTTTACACACATCAAGGAACATTCACATATATTTTCAAAAGTGTAAAAATATGAAAATTAAAATTAAAATTAAGATTAACGTATGAAACTGAAGAGCTCACAAGAATGATACAATGCCAGATATCAAACTCGAAGTTCACAAAGTACATTAAATTTATTATATATTTTTGAAATATTTTTTTAATTCACTTCCATTTTTATTCTTTTACTCACATCAAGGAACATTCACATAGATATAGATCTACATTTTCCTATTTAAAAATATGAAAATAAAAATAGAAATCAAAGTTAAAATCAAAATTAACGTACGAAAGTGAAGAGCTTACAAGAATGATACAATTTATATTAAACAATCGCTCAAACGCGCAGCGCAATCTTAAGCTTACCGCGCAGTTATACGATCGTTAAAACGGTTTGTATATATATATGTATATATTTTTCTTTCTTTCTTTATTTGAAGCACAATGGTATACATGTGTAGTTCTCCCTGCTCACTACAGGGAAGTAGGAATAGGACTTCAAGCAGGACACAGTATTAATTTTTATTTTGCATTATATCATTGATTAAAATGGGAACTAAACCTTAGTCCGGGCTGAGAATGAGATAAAACATGCATCTTTAGTGCAGCAGTTCAAAAGTCACGTTCTTGTCAAAATGTACAGTGTTTATTTCCTTGCTAGCAAATTCTCCTTTCACACAGCCCCAATATTGTAGTTTTAGTATGTTCCTTTTTTCTCTGTTGTTACGGTGATCGCAAAAATTTATACCATCCACACAGTGTGTGACGTAATCTCAGGCATTCTTTGACACCTAATTTGCACACCCTCGCGGCTCCAGACATAGACTAAAATCGACAGACTGAACACCCCACCCCCCCATAAAACCAACAAACAAACAACAACAAAAAATTCAGCTTCTTTGACTGGTGAACTATTTTTGAACAGGGGGCGAATTCTGAAGCCTCCAAACAGTCGAGTTGTATGAACTAGGTTCTCAAATAACATTCCGCTTTTAGCTCGCAGATGAATCCTGACACGGTGAAACCGAACGAAAAGAACTCCTAGAGCTATACTCTCAACACAATCATCCTGACTGACATCATGAGGCTGGACTTCATCTGTCTCTTGCTCGCCTGGGTCAACCTGCTCGTGACGTCAGCAGAAGTGCTCAACGTTCTGCGCCGGGAACAGATCAGGCGTATGTCCAGTCAGATCATGAGATGTGGCGCCATACCTGGCCTTAGGTAGGATGTCTTGTTCACATCGTACACTTGCAACGGCAGAATTTAAATCAAATGGGCTACCGTCAGCTAGCTGGTCGGTTGTATTTTAAGCTCAACATTTTGGATTTAAAAAACCCAATAACACCCCTCCCCCCCCTAAATTAATCGCAGGTATTGATTTCACGTGCTCAAGAAACATTTTGTTGAAATTCAAGTTCTAAATGTTGAAAACAGCAAGACAATTACATTATGTTGATACAATTAGTTAAAAGAATGAAACCATATTTGTTTCTCTCTCTTCGGAAAAATAAACATAATTTGTTCTGGCTGAGAGGTGTATTTTAACACATTGCTTGCCGACGATACAAGTCGTGCCTTCCCTCCGCCACAGGACCATTTATTATTTAGTATCTGATATCGGAGAGTGTGAGTGGGTGGTTGGCGGGTGCTTTGGTGTGGTTTGTTTCTTCTTTCCTATCAAACATCTATCGTACTTATCTCCCCTTCTTCTTTTTTATGTTTGTTACTCTCTTGAAACACCTCTAATCTTCTGACGCTCATATGACCTTTTGCAGTTGCAAGCGCCGTAAAACTTCTACTAAAACAAACAAAAAAGGAGAGTGTACCATCTTGTAACGTAGTACAAGAACAACACTGATATTCATTTGTTAGGATCGCATTGTGTGCAGATTGAAAATGCGCTGAAGGTCGAACAATCATGTCATGATGCCAACTCTGAGGCTAGCTTTGTGGTGAGTGGTTAGGTTTTAAATTCATCCTTATCCAAACGGAAGAAACGATGAATGGATATAATTGTTTTCAGTGTTAACCTTTATTGTTTTCAGTTTGGCTGTGGTGAAAAGTGGAGAGGTGTGGACGCTCCCCATGGGCGTGGCCAATGTGACGTCACAAGAACCTGTGAGGGAAGACACAAAGTTTGCCATCGGTTCGCTGACCAAGGGGTTCACGGCAACATTGTTGTTGATGCTGCTGAAGGACTCGGAGCAAGGGTGGGTGAAGCGCAGGACGGAAGGATATTGGTTCAACCCCGACTACAGCACCGAAAGTTTATTTTTCGAATATACATGTAGAAATAATAATATTTTCACGCTCCTATAGAGATATACCTTGAATAATTTAGGAGGATGGCTTCGACCGTGTCAGTTACGGCCAATCCAGGCTTAGAGGGATACAAAGTCGTAGCAGAAAGCCCGATCGAGATCCAAGACAACAACTGTGGGTGGTTGGCGGGTGCTCTGGTGTGGTTTGCTCCTTCTTTCCTATCAAACATCTACCGTCCTTATCTCCCCTCCTTCTTTTTATGTTTTTACTCTCTTGTAACATCTCTAATCTTCTGGTGCTCATATGACCTTATGCAGTTGCGAGCGCCGTAAAACCTCTACTAAAACAAACAAGGCAACAATTCTCGGCCCACGGGAATCGAACTCGAGTCATCCGCGTGCGACGGCGAAGCGTCTAACCACTACGCCATGGACACTGGTAAAAGCTTATTAAATAAGTGGAACCTAACTGAAATCTTAACTCCATATTCAATTAGACCATGCCCAGATGTAAGACTCGCTTGGCAATGTCTTAAACAACCCAAGTTTAGAGACAGTATAAGCAGCAGGGTCATCGGCCATACAGTCTAGCGAGATACCTTCTTCTTAGCTTTTTCCAGTTTTTCAACATTGCTTCTCTGGACTTCCACCAATAAAACGCTATGTCTCTGTCCATTCTGCCTTCTTCAGTTGCTTTGGTTCCAAGCTGGGTTTCTATGTTCTTTTCCCATCATCTGATGTGTTACTCCCTTCAACCAACCTATACTTATTGTGCAATATTTTTCAGCGTAAACGTCTCCCGTACTGAACTTGATATGTATGTCCATTTATCGCTCGTCTGCTGGGTTGATTCGGTGCTTGTCAACAGGCTGAAAGGCCCTCAAGGGTCCTATTGGGTAATTTAGTGTGTGTGTGTGTGGGGGGGGGGGGTCGCCCGGGTAGTTGCATGTCCTATTTAATGTCCCGCTTTGAAAAAACATGTGAGTTGTTTTTTTTTGGGGGGGGGGGGGGGGTACGAAAAATTTAGCCTCTTAAAGGTGGCAAAGTGGGCACTGACTATAAAAAGGTTGTTTGTTATTTTCATTCATCCAGCAACAGCTGGGCCATCGCTCTTCTGTCTAATGCTTTGTGGTGATTAGCGCATGTTTGCTGCCGTTGCTGTAACGTTCCCAAGGGTGTATTGTCAAATCTAGATCTCACAGAAAGAAGTGTAGCTCTGGTGTTATTAAGGGATGCGCCGTGGAACCGATGAGGTCATTGTTTGTAAACATTTTTTATTCAACTTTCGATTCAAAATTTGGATGATTTGTTAGGGCTGTCTGTTTCGACCTTGCCTTTGACTGAGTAGGACGCAATATTAGTGCTGAAAGACATACTGTCGAGCATTAATGACTCAAACACATCTTGGATTTACACTTGTGTTCGACACATCCATAATTCGAGTTAACTGATAACGAAGCATCAAAAGAGATATCAGCCAGGGAATGGCAAATTGAACAAGCTTTTCGTGATTTCCAGTTTTCCGTATTCATGTTATTTGTGCCTGTCTGTGAAATAGTATAGGTTTAACTCCCCTATCAACACTATTATGTTATTGAAAAGGCAGGACCTCCGAGTTTAACGTCCACCTCCGAAAGGACCGGGCCAAGTGGGAAATTCGTGTAAAGTGCCTTTTACAAGGACACAACGTCAGACTGAGCTGGGGCTCGAAACCCCGAACTCGCAATCTTACGATTACGAGTCCGGTTGCCATCGCGCATGGCTGTAGTTGTCTTCGAAAGTCCAAGCTGCAGAAAGTATTCGAACTAGAGTGGCTCGAATTTTACTTAAGTGTTTCCAACTGAGTTGACAAAATAATGTCCTTGCGGCAACCGTATCCTTCTTTCAATAGACTGTGGGGTGGGGGTGGGTAGGGTAGGGGAGGGGGGGGGGGAGGGCGAGGCAAACAAACACACCAGCTACACACAAAGAGGAGGTGCAAATCGTCCAAGTTTGAAATAGAGCTCCTGAATAACCATATTCAGATTTGTTGAAATTTCTTCGGCGTACGGCCTTCCGTTCTTTCGTTTTTCTTTTCACAATTTCCTTTTACTACTAGGCTCTTCACCCCGCCTCCCAAATGACTAATTTTGTCAAATAGTAATAGGCTTTGAAAAACAGTATGTAAAACAAAATTTCATGCGACACGTTCCGTTCTCTGTCCCCAGTTACACAATGGACACCACACTCAAGGACATTCTCAAAGACGACAAGTTGTTCGCTGACCCCCAAAGGTCACAGCACGCCACGGTCAAGGACATCCTGTCTCACCGCATGGGTCTGGCCAGGGCTGACTTAGCCATCTTTGGCGGGTATCCAGAGAACCATACTCTGGCAGATGTTGCCAGGTGCGTCTGCTTTCGTCTCCACTTTCTGCCCCCCCCCTCATCCCCCTTTGCCCCGTCATTTGGGCTTCTGACACTGTAACCTTTAAACTGCAACTCCTTGGCTCCTTCTTACTACTGTCTTTCAGTCACACCCTTGATCTTAGGGTAGGTAATATCTAGCACCTAGCTTTCTCGGATAAGGGCAAAAAATCTTGGAGGTCCCGTGTGCTAGTTGCGCACATTAAAAATCTCTTGGTGGAACAAAATCGGCAAGAGTAGGCTTCAGTCGTAACCCGGGCAAAATTTAAAATCAATTCCTACCAAACTGAAAATATATAATGTGTCCAGTGCACTCTGTGATCTTATGCAGTTGTAAGCGCCATAAAACCCTTACCAAAACAAAAACAACAATAGTCGCACCACGCTTTTCTAACGACATGATTTTTCTAACGACATGATTCTAAATACATTTGTGTCACTAGACGGTGGAACCAGGCGCTCCTCAACTTTGAGGCACAAGAAATTATTGGCGTAATCGTAAAATCTGTTCATAATATGCCTTAGCTTTGATGAAAAAATATCCGTCTATCTTAAATAGAAGTCAAGATAGGAGCGTTTGCAGTAGAGATGGAAGTCGCCTGGTGTCGGAGGTAAACTTAGCACATGGGTGTCAAAGTTTGATGACCTTCAAAGCTTGAGTATCCTTGTAAACTGCAAATTTATATTTTTATACCTTTGATTAACGTTTTGTTTAGTTAAGATTCTAACGGAAATTTGTTATTAAATGTACCCCCGCCCCTCCCCCCCCCCCGCTCCCCCCCCAAACAAACAAACCCAAGCAACCCCCCCAAAAAACCCCAAAACAACCCAAAACAAAACAACAAACACCAAAGATTGATAGCAATTGACCAAACGGCAAAAAAAAAAGAAAAAGAAAAGAGAACCCCCCCCCAAAAAAAACAACGACCCTAAAGCAACTCAACCCAAACCAGCAACCAGAAACAGAACCACGGTTTCTTTGATTTCACTACTTTGACGAAAGCCTGATTTACCACAACACCACACGTTTTCCCTCTTCCTACCACAGCTCCATCTCCTGCCTCCCAGTGCTGAAACACTTCAGAGACGGTTACGTCTACAGCAACTTCATGTACAGCCTGGCCGGTCACGTGATCGAGAAGCTGACCAACCAGACGTACGCTGACGTCATAAAGTCACGGCTCCTGGGGCCTCTGCATATGACAGCAACAATGACGTCATTCAACACGAGTGACCCGTACCACGGCATGGCCCTTCCCTACGTGTCGGTGAGCGGACGCCTCACTCCGGCTCACCACAGCGTTTTCAGGTTAGAGAAAATCTTATGACTGGAAGAATTGACTGACACATAAAAATCATTCATGTATTCACAGTGGAGAGTATACGTTTGAGCAGAAGTGCACATGTACACTCAAAAACACATATTGATATAGACACACACATAATATGCACACAGACATACATGCACGCATGCACACACATATGCACACACATATACACACACATATACACACAAATACACTCATGCACACACACATGCACACATGCACACATACATACACTCACATGCACACATATATATATATATACTTTTACGTATGCACATGCACACATATTAATCTGATTTATACTCATAAACACACTTATACACAAGCATATATGCACGCAAACAGACACTCAGATTTTGCACAGGCATGTACAAACATCCACATGTACACACATATTCATACAAGTCCACACACACACACACACACACACACACACACACACACACACATACACAGAACACACTCAGCTGAGGTACTGGCATAGACATGAGCAACAGTCAAACATGCACACAGTCATACACAGTATTCATAAACAATTCATTATTATAACAATGCTCTTCAACACACCTTTCAGCAACTGAACAAACACTTCCATTCTCTTTATCTCTCGTTATAAACGAAAACATTTCCTTTTTAAAACTATTTTTCCCTTTCACAGTCTGTCATGTTATCATCTTAGTCGAAAAATGTGTCATCTGTAGTTTTTCCATTTTATTTTGACCCCCCGCCCGTCTTTCTCTCATACCTCTACATACATGGTTCGCATCTTTGTCATTTAAAAACTAGCATTTTGTTCAGCGCATTTTATCTGTTCAACTACTACTACTACTACTACTACTACTACTACTACTACTACTACTACTACTAC